TCATATATATATAGATATAGATATAGATATATATATCTCACAAACACACACACACACACGCACACACGCACTCACTCACTCACTCAATGTGTGTGTGCGTGTGTGTGTACACGTGTGTTTGTGTCTTTTGATTCCTATTCCATTGAGCCATCTTTTGGGCGATTATGAGCAGTACTCCACAAGTTATCAATAATCCAGGATTTTCCTGGTGTACAAAGATGACACTAATTTCTTTTATTTTCTTTGCTCTCTAATGGTCGTTTTATTTGTTTTTTTTCCAGGATCTGAACAGTAAGCAAGCTCATTCTCTCATCCCATATCACGCCACGCACAGTGATCCAGGAAATTTGCCTTTGTTCAAGAACCCCATTGCATAATTAGTATTCTCATCAAGAGTTGTCTCTTAAGCCTTCAAACGAATTTTCTTCATTCGCTTTCTTAACTCCTTTGATTATTAATATTCCTGATTTTTTTTTCTACCAATCGATTCGATCTTAAAATCCGTACCAATTGCATCCTACAATGCCACTATTCGTTGTAGTACTATACTTAAGATCGGCATGTTCAAAAATTTTCCCACAACCAGGACTCGAACTCGTATTTTTCACGATAACTTGTTCGATTCTTTGTTTGCTTGGTTCAACCTAGCGAGTGAAAAGCTGCGTTCATTGCTCAACCGGGTCCTGCAAATTTTATTTTTTAATCCTTAACGGTAAAAAAAAATCAAAAAATTGCGGGATAAAGATTTGAACGGTGGGTAACCTCAATTTTTCATCCTACCACCCCATGAAGTCCAATAATAATAAAAAAAAAAACGTCCTTAATCACGTTCGATGCTTAATTAGTTTTTCAATCAAGGTTTCCCTCGGAAACCCTTCGTTACGCATCAACACCTTCACTGATATAAATCTAGGGTTTCAATGCCCCCCTAATATTTTTTTGGTCCTCCGATCTCATATATGAAGTCATATTCATCGTTAAACACTCCCTTCATCAACATTTCACCACCCTCTCCCCTCCCCCCCCACCACCCCGGTTCTCCTCGCGCCACACCTTATTTCACCTTTCTTATTGAGCCTCACCTTTTAGCTATATTTTTTTCTTCTACAATTCTTTCTCTGCCTTTTTGTTGAACTCATCCTCTCAACCCCCCACGAGATAGAGAGAGAATATCTTGCTTCATAGAAACGTAAAGTTTTAAAATTATTTATTATTTTTATCTAAATTTTTTATTTTTCTACTAATCTCTATTGTTTTGGCAATTTTGTCTTTTTCTTTTACGATAATCAATACAAATATACATTATTAAACCACCACTACCTTTCTCAACCTTGGGGAAAACGGGAATATACGTCACACCACATTTTTCGGGGTTAAGGAGGAGGTTTGGCAAAATCAAAATGTTTGGGTCCTAGGGACTCGCCTGCAAAAGAAAAACGATACTGAAAGTTTGAGGTCGTACGTCGGGGAAGGTCGTGAATAACCTCTGCTCATGAAGACTTCGAATAACGTATTTTTCCACTATTTGGATTAGTTTAAGCTTAACTTACTCGTTCTTGTTTTTCTTGTCATGTTTTGTTTTGTTGCCTCACAAGTGAGGCAGGGTACAATCCATAGACTACTGACACTAGGTCACGAACGAGACACTCACATTAGTACTGTTGGTGATGTATCTACCCGCTTTCTTAGGTATAACATATAGTTTTTTTTTTTTTTTTTTTTTTTTAACCTTTGCTCACATAAAGACTTCAAATAACTTATTTGCTCACTATTTGGGTTAGTTTCAACTTGACTTACTCCTTTTTGTTTTTCTTGTTACGTTTTGTTTTGTCGCCCAGCCAGCTAGGTAGGGCGCAATCCACGGGCTACTGACACTAGGTCATAAACGGGCACTCACAATAGTACTAGCGATGATGTATCTACTCGCTTTCATGGGTATAGCGTTTTTTTTTTTTTTTTTTTTTTTTTTTTAAGTTGACTTTGTGGACCTAACAATGTTGTTGTAATGCCCTCACTAAGGGCACACTCACACAAAC